AGATTTGAAGAGGTCTAAAATACAGGTAGAGTCCCCAAGAAGCTATTAAATGTCAATTAAGAAAGGTATATGTTGGGGGCTGCTCAATTTTCTAATAGTTAATTAGGGAAAAGATAATTTTATTTTCAGAATGGCTAACTTGGAACTTGTCATTTAAAAATCCGTGGTGAAACATTTAGTAAGAAAAGCTTCAACATAATACATAAAGTTGACAGTATTATGTAATTGTATTCTAAATATAAGTGAAATGATATCATAGGTAGAAGTGAGCATTCTCTAATTATGTTTCTAAGATGTTTGTTTTGCTGCGTGATCAATTAGATGAATTTAAATCCAACAAACTGGTCACGGAGTGACCTCTTCCTCCTCCAACCTCCCCGCCAGTTCATTTCCGCGTCAGTCTGATCCCGTACTGCTGTCTCGTGTTGTCAGCTCGGCATTCATCTTTGCAGTGATTTGTGGGTGTAGACAGCTGCCTCTTCCCAGTAAGGCGACGGAACAAATCTCAGGGGCCTTGATTACTGTTGAATGAAGGGTCACAGATGGCTCAGGATATAAAAACCAAAGAGAAGCTCATTGAAGACCAGGCTCAAGACCTCTCTGGGCAGTGCATCCCCACTCTAGAATTTCTTCTTCTTAGATGCGAGGCATTTTTGAAAAAGAATAGGGATGGGTAAGAGGAGTGAGAAAGCTTTCACATTTACAGCAGTCCTCAGAGTGAAACAGCAGGTTCACTCTGCATATCAACTTCCCCGTCTGCAGGTTCACTCTGCGTATCTACTTCCCCATCAGCCCTGAAGTGAAACTGTATTTCATTCTCAGCCTGTGGCCCACCCTCCCCTGTTTCTAGAACGTGGTTCCAACTGGTACCTGGGTCAGGTCACAGCCTTGGGGTGACAGCAGCAGAGAGCCGTGCGGGTAGCCCCACGTGTTCTGAGGGGGACCAAGCCCCCCGGATAATGCTCCTGGGTGTGGCTTGGCACATCGCAGTCGTTCAGTCACTTGGAGAGATTGTGTTTACCTCTTCTTTCTTGAGCTACGTCCCGCCCGCACTGGTGCTCTGGGCTGAAAGGTGTCCGCAGTGTGTGCGTGCGTGTGCACGCACACCCCCAGCTCTCCCGCTTGGCCGTGCTCCTTCTGTCTGTGCTACAGCCTCATCCGTGTCTTCGGGGGCAGAAGTCTGGTTACTCCTTTTCCTTTTTTACCACATTCCATATGCTGCTGAATCAATGTACGTTTGGTTCTTGTAACATCACTTGACTGCATTTTCTCCAGTTCACACTGCTTCAGTCCTAATTGAGTGCCTCGTTGCCTATGACTTATGCCCCAAAGTATTTCAGAAACCTAATGTTTTCCTTAGCACCTAGATTACATCTCCCCTTTGGCCTGAAGTCCGTGGAGTCCCACAGGCTGGTGAGGTACGTCCGTCTGTCACTGTGAGGCTCTTCTCACGTGATGCCATTGTCCCTCCGGGTCCTGATCCTCACGTGCTTGGTACCTGTGTTCCACAGGCCTTCTGGACCCCAACTTCTTGTCGTAGGTCTGCCTCTCCCTGCTCCGTATGCTCTGTGCTTCCCTCTTGGCTTCTCTCCAGGCTCCTCTTTTACCTGGAGCTTTCACCCATCAGATATGACTGATTGAAAAACTCTAAGTATGAGTAATATTTTTGTATTCTGGGAGTACTTTGTATCTCTTCTAGAACAGGACATTCTACCATGTACTATAGGCTCCCTCCTTACGTTTATTTTATTGCCTCATTAATCTTTAACCTACATGCTTATAGTGTTAGATTAGTATCTTGGTAATAGATACTAAATAGGAAAAGTACTGAACAAGACATTAGAAGGTCTTGCTAGCTAGCTATGTGACTTTGAGCAAGTCATTTTACCTCTCTGAGCTGTAGTTAAATTAATTTCTGGGAGTCAAGTGAGATGATGATATATATTTATCATGTAAAATGCCATGTAGGATCAATAAAGGTGTTCTGTCCAGCGTGTTTATCATTCACTTATAACATTTCTAAAACATAATACAGCACAGTATGAGTTATGTCAGCCACCACCATCGTGGCCCACAGGGAGAAGCTGGTTCACGGGGTGAAGTGGCCTACTGGTATACCGAGTGGAAGTTCAGGAGTTCTGCATATGGAAACCGGGCAAAGCAGAGACAAAAAGAGAGACTAGGTATTGACCAAGAAGAATTAGCTTAATTAATTACCATTTTCCTGTGTTTAGGGCTCAGGGTTTTTGTGCAGTTCTCTGGAGGCAGAGGCAGAGCTCAGGACAGGGGCTCAGGCCTCGGCAGGTAACTGTGTGTGCCTGTTTTGGGATGGCTCTCTCCGTCTCTCTTGAAATTCTGATTGGACTCTGCATTGTTATGATTAAGTTGGTTTTATAATAATGGCCCAGGCTTTTGGGGTAGTGAGTGCCCTCCTCCCTGTTTAGAGCTAGAGTTGAAGGCCACTTGGTCAGAGGTTGTCAACCATTCCTTACATGGACTGTAGGAGTTCATGGGCTCAGACTTAGGATTGTGAAGTGACTTCTGATCTTCAGAGAAGGGCCAATGTGTATTTGTTGTCATGGTGAGGGCGTCCGTGTTATTCTAAGCCTTAGAAAGTCCCCCACTGCAGGTTAGTGTGTGCGGGAGAAAACCATCAACGGTGTGTTAGGAAGTGTGTGCCGGAGAGAATTATTGATCGTGTGTTAGGAAGTGTGTGCGGGAGAGAAGCATTGACCGAGTGTTAGTGTGTGAGGGAGAGAAGCGTTGACTGTGTGTTAGGAACTGTGGTGCGGGAGAGAACCATCGACGGTGTGTTAGTAAGTGTGTGCGGGAGAGAAGCGTTGACCATGTGTTAGGAAGCATGTGCGGGAGGGACGCGTCGACCGTGTGTTAGGAAGCGTGTGCGGGAGGGACGCGTCGACCGTGTGTTAGGAAGTGTGTGCAGGAGAGAAGTGGCAGCCGCTGTGTCCTCGCCTCACCCACTCTCGGAGCTTCCTCTCCTGCCGCTCCATGGAAAGTGCTCGTCCAATAACACGTAGTCTAGTCTGGCCACATAGCCCCTGTCCTCTCCGCATCTCTCGGTGGCCTCTGGGAGGTTTTCTTCTCAGGGCCTCTGTGCCAGCCCCGTCTCTCCTTGTTCCCCTCCCTCACTGGCTCTTCTGCCTTAAGAGCTGGACAAGAAAAGTGGGGATACTCGGGGTGTGCCCTGGACTAGCAAACGTGCCCCGTGCGTTCCTCGGTGAGAAGGCTTTTCGTTCTTTTCACATAGTAGTAGTGGGCATTTCTTACTCATCTGTCACAAAGCTGATATTCTCACGCCTTCCTATGACTTATTTTTTTTGAAATATTATTTTTCTGTCTTCCTGTCTTCTTACTGACTGGAGTCTTGTAGTTCTCACTGAGTAAATACAACAGGGCGATTTTCTGGAACTCTGAACTTAATATTGGATGAGCTCCAATAGTGAAGAAGGAAGTATTAACTAATTTAATTGACAAATAGATATTTCCCAGCCTGGTATACTATTCAGATTTTTGGTATAAGTTCGTGAATAAATTAAGCTGCTACTGCCCCAGGGACTTAAGTCAGAAATGTGGTTGTGGGAATCTTTTTCTTTCCCACACCGCTTCACATTTTAAAAATTCTTCTGCGGGAAGATCCCAACATACTATAGCTGGTCTTCTTTATGCAGCTTATTTTCCCTGGAGAGAGTCAGGAGAAAACCCAAGTCAAATCTTGTCTGTCTGTGTTCGTGTCGCTTCAGAGAGCTACTCTCTCCTGTTAAATGTCAGTACGTGCTCTAATCAAGAGAAAGAGGGGCAGTGGGAAGTAGGAGGGGGGGAACGAATTCTCAATACTGGTCGCACACTCATGGGCCGATTAATTCCTCCGTATGAATCGCAGTGTTTTCTCCATTACAGAAACTTTGAAACATGTATACAATATATATGTGTGTATGTATATAATGCAAATATACCCGAGAGAATTGAAATCCTGTGTTTATACAGAAACTTACATAGCATTCACATACAGTTTATATGAATGCTCATGGCAGCATTATTTATAATAGACAGAGGCTGAAAACAACCCAAGTGTCTGTGAGCTGATGGATAGATAAAATGTGATATATCCATACAGTGGAGTATTATTCAACCATAAAAAGTAACGAAGCTCTGATGTGTACCTCAGTGTGGAGGAGCCTCGAAAACAGAATGCTAGGTGAAAGCAGCCAGACACAGAAGTCCACAGTATTGTGTGATTCCATTACGTGGTATGTCAGTCGTGGGCAAATCCAGAACGGACAGTGTCTGTAAAAGGCACGGGGAGTGTTTTTGGAGAGAAGAAGGTGGTCTGGAATTTGATAGTGGTGATGGCTGCACAGTTTTGCGAATATTCTTAGCACCACTGAATGGTACAATTTAAAATGATGGATTTTTTGGTATGTAAATTGTACCTCAATTTAAGAATAATTAAAAAAAAAAAGCGTTCCAAGTGTCCAGCCTCGTTTTCCACATTATACAGATCACTTTGGGTGTCGTACACAGCGGGGCTTGTATGGGTGATCCTGCACTCCCACATCCCGATTTGAAAAGAAATGAAATTGAATCATGGACTAGGAGTTAGAAATCATGAACTGGGTTCCTGAATCCTAAGTGACCACGGGCAGGATTCTCTCACCTTTAATTGTGTTGCCAGAAATGAGGGTGAGAATACCCACCCTTGTCAGGGTTTACCAGATTGAAGGGTTTCTGGTTTTCTGACAGCTTTCCAAAGTATCTCGTACATGTAGGTGTTGCATAAATACATATTAAATGAATGTTTGATTTGAAGAGATCAAGTCATGAGAGTACTTTCTAAAACCTCCAACCCTGTAGGTATGAGATTATGGCTTTAATATAGTATGGTCTGTTTAGTCTTGGAAATTTAAAAACGATTTGGATATTCTGCTGCTAAGATGTTCTGTAACTAATTGATGGCCACACTGACTCAACTTCTTTTTTAGGCCTTGCAGTATTAAAACATGTGCTGACACCAAGAATAAAGGCAACTCATGTTGCTTTTGATTCTTTGAAGAATTATTTGGATGCAATATATGATGTGACAGTGGCTTTTGAAGGGACTGTTGACGATAAAGGGCAGCGGAAAGAAGCCCCATCCATGGCTGGTGAGTTTCTCTTTTCAGGGGAAGCCTACATTTGTGAATATGTAATTATTCTCTTTGACCGGTAAGTGTGCTTCATAGCATTTACTTGATGTATTTTCTGAGTATATACATGATGTATCTTTCAAGTACATTTTATTAATCCGTAACGGTTTGAATTTCACGAGTCCTGCTACATTTGGTATTTCCTGGTTGCCACAGGAGTCCTTTGGACTTGCCCATTATCGTTAACTCAGCCTCTTTCTACGCAAAGTTCACACGTAAAAATGGAAGGGTACGTAAATCACAGGAGGGAGTGATGGGGAGAGTGTGACCTAGCGGTCCGGAGGCGTGCACCGATGGTCCGCTTCATCTTTATATGCACTTTTATAGAATACTTGGGAAATTTAGTATCATTGGCAAGAAGAAGAACAGTTAAATGGGACTTCTTTTTTCAAACCTGTGCTAGGTTTCAAAGATTTTTAGCTATTGTCTATGTGTCCGTCAGATATAAAAAGAAAAATAGAATTTTGGTTAAACATAAACAGAGACACTCTTGCCTATTAGAGAAATTGAAATATGGGAAGAAGTCGGCACCCAAGGAAGTGCGTGGACCTGCCGTCCGAGCTCTGAACCCGAGATAGGACACCGGGCATTTTATTTCACGTTGGTGGCTGGTGAAGGTCGAAATCGCGGGCCTGGCAGAGTGTGTCAGTGGGACCTCGTGAAGGTCAATGTCCTAGTGTGTCCAGGAGACAGCAGCTCCCGGAGCAGGAGGCCTGGAGAGGAGACGGACAGGCGGGGCCTGTACATGACGTGTGGTGGTTCTGTACCCCTTCCCAACTGGAGGAGAGGCGCTGAGACCGCTCACAGGGGCGTCGTCTACATTCCCGCAGCCCCCCCTTCCCCCCCCGCCCCGCTTCCTCTACTGCATACACGTTAGCCGACAGCAACTTTGTGTTTTCCTTACAAATTGTCTCTTCTCCAGAAAGTTGGCTTTTCTATCACACCCAGAAGCCATGTGGCAAATAAATCTGTTGTTTCATTCAATTAAGAGTGAATATTTCTGCAGTTTCTGCAAGGAATACACCAAAGCAAAATCAAAAGACTAAAGACAAACTGGGAAAAATATTTGCAACTTATATCACAGAAAAAAGGCCTGATTTCCTGAATGCATCAAGGGCTTCTACAAATTGGTGAGCAGGTGGTCAGTAACTCAGCAGTAGTTCACAGGGAAAGCAACGTTCAGTCTCCTTCATAATAGAAGCGCACGTTAAAGTGTACAGTGTGGTCCCGTGGTTTGCTGTCAGGTGAGCAGAGCTCTCGGCGTCAGGCTCACTAACAGGCCCTGTGGGTGAAATACATCTTCTGCTCTGCCGTTAGCGGCGCAGCGCAGCCTCCCCCCCCCCCCCCCCCGCCGAGGGTGCCTGGGGGGATCGGGTGGATAAACGCGCTGCTGGGAAGTCACCCCACCGGTATACACGTCACGTGGGGTTTTAGTCGTGACTTGGGACCTGTAGCTTGAAAAACCCTGCTCTCGTTATTATGTAAATTTATTGATATCCTGCTCTGCTTATAATCTAGTGTAGATTAAGATGCACCTTAAATTTATGAAGTAAATTGGATTAGGTATAAAATTCCTATTCCCAGAATACTGCACATTCTGGGTGGTTGAGTTTAAGTAATACTAAATATAACCCGCATACATAGTGGGCTGTCACTTAATAGTCGTATTTTCTGGCCCACTTAAAAAGCGTTTCCATAGTCGCTAAATCCTGTAGTTGCTAGATGGGTCGTGTATAAGCCGTAGGCCGCCATTCTCAAGCAGCGTAGGAGTTTTCTAGCTCCCCCAGGGCCGCCTGGGATGGGGGCTGGCCGCGCGGGACCTCGGCGCCACCCTCGCCCCGGAGGCTGGCCGCAGGCGAGGGCACACCGGGTGTGGACAGACTGCGGGGGTCCCGGGCTCACAGCTCGCTGTGTGCCGTGTCTCCTCACAGGGGGTGCCCATCGGAGCCCACCCGGGCTTGCGCTTATTCACCTCTTGTCACCACGGCCAGGCTCCCCGGACGGTGCCGCCAGGCAGGGGTGAGCTGGGCCGGTCTGACTGTCATGGACTCCTTTAAAATCCTGTTTCTACAGTGGGTCATATTCTGTAATAAATCCCGAGGTTAAGGATGACATTTAATGCTCTGTTTAACCATTTAATATGATTCTAAGTAGCTTTTTTCTATTAATATTTTCCTGTGTGAAAATAAGACTTACTTGGAGGGGAAGATTACAGGCAACCCGAAAGGAGGAGGGAAGCACTGCACGCGCAGGCTCGCTGCAGACAGGACCCCACTTACCGGTTCGAATGTTTGCCTCAAAACCTTCCTTCTTCTGAAGTCTATATGCTGGAGTATGTTTGTGCCTTTGGGTATTTTTTTAAAATGAGATCATTTGTGTATATTGTTTTCTTTATATCCTGCTTTTATTTGCTTAACAGGGTGTCACAAACATCTTTACATGTCAGTATATGCACTTCTGTAGTTTTTTAAAAACGCTATATGATGTCCATTGATGTGACTATGCCACAGTCAATCTCCCAGATTTCTGCTCTTGAATTTAGGTTATTGTTTTCCCCCAGAAGGAAAGGGGGGCAGGTAATAAGCCAGTCAGCCAGCAGTGTGGGAGCCTACAGTGGGCAGTAGTACCTGCCTGCGTAGACTCGTGAATGTCAGGTGAAACCAGACACATCCAAGTACCATGTACATTTTATGGCAGGACCCTAAAAGCACCGCCTGAATTTGGGAGTCTGTCTCACCGTATCAGTGCCTCTTCCCTCCTCAGCTGAGGTCTCAGGAAAGTCACTGCTGTCACTCCCTGGGCACTGTGGTTACAAGCATTCCATTTCTGACTTGTGGAGTACGCTCACTTTTTCCTTACGGTCTGTAGCTCTGTACCAAGTCCACGGGATTACTCTTTGATTATGGAGATGGTGGTGGCGTGGATTGTTAGATAGAGGCAGGAAAATGGGTGTCAGGGTCTGCATTCTCATGTACCAGAAATATAGGTAAGAGGGCCACCTGAGAAGTGATGGGTGAAAGAAAAGTGACCGTTGCAAACATGTGGGGCATACTGTGTGCTGGACGCTGCTCCACGGCTCGAGCACTCCTCACGGTTACCCTGTCAAGCAGGTGTTGTCCCAGGGTCTCTGTTTTGCAGACTGGGGAACAGGCCTGGAGAGCTCACACAGCTGCCCAGGGCTGGCCAGGGGTGGAAAACCGGGCTGGCTGCCTCAGTGGCCGTGCTCGTAACCGCTGCACGCTTCTGCTCCAGAATTCCTCGTAAGCAGTTCTTTGATGACATACGTGAAAATGGAACTTGAGGAAAATTAAGACAAAAATACTGAACAGTAAAATCTTCCTGATAGCAGTGCTTTGTGTGCATTTCTCATCAAAGCCAGTTCACTCCTGAAAGTAGATAACTGTGAAATAACTTTGATGCTGGAAATGCTGCATGTTACTAAGGATAGCAGTGGTTAAGAAAAAGAACAATTGTAGAGAATGCTTAGCAAAAAAGAGATGTGTGTAGAATCAAAAGAATAGAGACTTCTAAGCTTAAAGTCTTCCTTAAACCGTAGAATATACGAGTCACCATTTCTAAGAACCTTCTCTTTGAACACATTGCAACCTGAGGTAATAGGTCCCGGCCCCGTTCTTGCACACCCACCCAGGGAACATGGCCTTCTCTCAGATCTCTTAGGAATATTTCCTTGTTCTCCAAGGAATTTAAATATGTTAATAATCTCACCTCTTTGCCAAAAGCCACCTACGAAAAGGCATTTCCCAGCTCAGAGTTCTTTTTTGTCTTTAAATAAATTCTGGCCTCATCCCTTGTGCAGCCAGGCCTGAATAAAGATTGTCTGCTTTGTTCACATTAGCATGGTTTAGGAATTCTAGTTAGGAGCTCATAGCTCTTCCACAAAAGGGATGTTGGACCTTAGGCCGAGTGTACCACGTGAGAATACGGTAAAGGCAAGGAGAGCAGGGAGCATCAGTGAACAGAAACCAATAGCAAGTCACAGAGGGATGGAGATCTCTCTACCACGTCCGTTCAGGTGTGTGGCCATCAGGACGGGCTTACTGTGCCCAGGGAGGGCCCTGGGGATTCAGGGGATTCAGTGCCTCCGTGCCCCCAATGCTTTGGCCGAGGGAACAGACAGATCTATCTCCGCCCTCTGGGACTCGATCTAGTGGGAGCGGCAGTGACCATGTGTGGTGCCTGAGAAGCTTGGGAATAGCCAGCTGGTGGTTTCCGGCAGGTGATGAGTGAGTCTGGGGTCGCTGGCATTTAGGGGTCCCTTCAGAGGGTGGGTACGAACTTCTGAGTCCCGCTTCCTAGTCCTGAGCCACCTGTACCACTAAAGGTCACTGTACAAACAGTAACATTGGTACTGTTGACGTAAGTCAGCGACTTCAGGTAATTGCGGTATAACAGGTTCTTCCCCCTCAGCCTGAAACCTAAAACCATCAGTCTCTAATTCTTTCTTGTAACTTTTGTTTGCTAAACAAGACTCTGCTTTTTCATCATTAAAACTTTTTTTTTACCTCGTTTTCAGTTTTCTTAGAAGCAAGAGTTCTAAAACAATAAAAAATGAAATATTTTTGTTTCTTGTTAGAATTTCTCTGCAAAGAATGTCCAAAAATTCACATTCACATTGACCGTATAGACAGAAAAGACGTTCCGGAAGAACAAGCATGTATGAGAAGGTGGCTTCACGAGCGCTTTGAAATAAAAGACAAGTGAGTAACACCAGTTCTTGCACTTGAAAACCTTGTGGGGTTTGCCTCAATTTCACTATAGTAAATAAACGGTTTGAAACTAACAGTCTTTTTATGTTAAGAATACTTTTTTATAAACTCAAGTCCAGTCTGTTCATGTTTGAAGCCTCACCGGTACAAAGTCCTACAAGAGAACATATTATAGGAGACCTCTGTTTGCATTCCTGGTATTTCCTAGACAGTGTTGGGGGCGGGGCGGGGGGGTATAAATTAGATCTCACACACACACACACACACACACACACACACACACACACACCCCTGCATTCCCACGTCAGACAGTCGTCGTGTGGCTGGGGGCCAGCTGGCGTGCCCGCGGTGCCCGGGAAGCGAGGCCGCGGGATAGAAGGTTTAGTCTGCTCTACGTGTGGAAATGACACGGGTGTACTGCTTCGGAGAGGGAGGGCCGGGTGCCGTTTTTCTGACCAGAATGTCTTTTTGCTGTTAGTATTTTGGGGGCTGTGCAGCTTCCAGGGTTGACCTTGTGTTGGTCCATGCTCGTAACATCACTTGGAGCAAACAGTGCTGACCCTTGCTGAGCGTTCCCTGTAAGCAAACTGCGGGTGTGTTTAGATGCCTCCTGGGTGAGCACAGCTTAGAGTCAGGCTGAGGGAGGGAGTGGGGTGTGCCGGAAGACACAGGTACCCCGGGAATAAAGTACACTAGGGCCCCTTTGATATTTTAATATAAATCTAGTTTTAAATGTTTGTTTATTTTTGGGAGAAAGAAACAAAAAGCAAACAGGGGAGATGCAGAGAGAGAGGGAGACAGAATCTGAAGCAGGCTACAGGCTCTGAGCTGTCAGCACAGAGCTCAACACGGGGCTCGAACCCATGAACTGTGAGATCATGACCTGAGTCGAAGTCAGATGCTTAACCATCTGAGCCACCAGGCGCCTCTAATACAAATTTCTAAAGGAAAAAAATTTAGAAAATTCTTCTGTTTTTAAGAAGATAAAAAGTGCATCTCGGTTTTGATTTAATACTTAGAGATGGAATTTTCTTGGATGAAAATTTTAGGATACATTATTTACTGTTTGTTTGCTATCAATGGAAGCTTTATCCTTTCTGATACATACCCTGTTTTTTGAAAGGTACGTTTTAAACATCTCTCTTTTTTTATCCTCCTTTTGAAAAACGTGGATCCAGTAGTCATAGGATGCATCATTTACTAAAAAACCACGTTGACAAGTGTGGAGATTTTAGACTCAGAAGTAAGACTTCGAAATTGTGTGGAGAAGTTTTACCTGTGTTTCCTTCTCCTGATACGCTTTGCAGATTGCTCTGTGCCCATCCCTTGTTGTACCACAGTAAAATCGTTTCCTCCTCAGCCTCCCTGAGTGAACTCTGAGAAGTGCAGGTGATTGGAAGTGTGCTTGCATGGACAGTGAAGCTATGACGTTTATAGACAAGTAGCTGAAGTCCTGTGTTCCATTGACTGTCACTTGTACGTGACAGAATTGATTCAACCAGCCATCAAAGCCACCCACTTTGGTTGTTAAAAAGCCTGAACAAGATGTTGAATATCCAATGTATTTTGTGATAACGGCCCTCATATATACTTAGACGGAGTCTGGACATTTTGAAACGGTGATTATCTTAAGGGAATGTGTTCTAGTAGTAGAAGGACTTCCTGGGGTTTTTTTATTTGTGTTCGAGAGTTTTATGCTAAGTCTGTTCTACTAGAAGTTTATCTTTTTTAAGTAAGATAGGCACATGAATTAACTATGCTGTTTTTTCCTTCTTGTATCTGTTTTTCTAATTCCATTGCAAATAATGTGTTTTTTGGGGGAAACTCCATATATGTTATCAGGACTGCTGACCTTTTCCTTGACTTCTGGTGGAATGGGAGGGAGGTGTAGGAAGGAGGAGGAGGGATTCGGGACGTGCGATGGGTTATTCCCCAGGTGTGAGTCTGGGCATTGCAAAATTATTAAAAATTTAAAATAATTAAAAAACCAAAATCATCCCCATAAAACTAGTTGAGCCATCTTTTTAAAAATATAATACAGTTCATCTGCACTCATCATGAGCATATTAAATACATTTTTCAGGTCTGGAAACTTCAGTTAAATCAAGTCTCTGGGTATTTTCCTTATTCATCTTTATTTCCCAAGGACCTGTCATTTCTCCAGCGTGTAATAGGGGTCTAGTAGCTCTTTGTTACATTAAAACCGTAAATGACTAAACCTGAAACTTTACATTTCTTTTTTTTTTTCCATTCTGACCGTAGGTTGCTCATAGAATTTTATGATTCACTGGATCCAGAAAGAAGAAACAAATTTCCGGGGGAAAGTGTTAATTCTAAATTAAGTCTCAAGAAGACTTTACCATCGTTTTTGATCCTAAGTGGTTTGACTGCTGGTATGCTAATGACCGAGGCTGGAAGGAAACTCTATGTAAAAACGTGGATTTATGGAACCTTAATAGGGTGCTTGTGGGTTAGTATTAAAGCATAAACAAGTAGCCGTCTGCAGGCAGCGGGTTGTGCTACGTGATTTATCACTGACAGTCACACGGGACATCACATTGTTTCCTGAATTAATAAGAAGTGTAAATAAAGCCTTGTTGATTGACCATTGGATAAAATAGAATTTCTGACTAAAGCCGACATGCAGGTGATCTTGGGCAGACATACGTGATTTTCCAACTTTAGATCGAGCTGCTGGAAAGGGACACTAAGCGGTATGTGCTGTCCTCGCGTGTCAGTGAGCCAGTGTACTCTTCAGAAGACTGTTGGCATTGTGTGCTTTGGCATTGTCCTGTAACTCAGAGCGCGGCACTCATGAACATTAATTTGCAGGCTACTTCACTGTATTTGTTATTTTTAATTTTTTACAACTTGACTAGTCCAACCTGTCATCGCTGAAGTATGTAGTGTCTCGCAGTCGTGTAACATTTTGCCTTTTGCTTAATTTCTCCAAGTGGATGAAAGAAACTATTTGTGTATCAAGAAGGATACAAGGAAAAGGGCAAGAAATGTCCATGGGGAAGAAGGTGTGGTTTGCGCATGCTTTTATTGTAGTGTGTTCTTAGCTGACTTTACCTTCTATTTGCAAAGTAATTAACTTTTCTAATATTTATTAAAACGGCTTAATTTGCACACCCTGTGTTGTACACAAAGGAATAATGTGTGAAATACAAGAGTTACGTCTCGGTCGGCGCCGTGACCCTGGCCCGCTGTGGCAGAGCTGCGTTGCCCGGCGTTGTGAGGAGCAAAGCCGAGGCCGCAGCACCTGCCAGTGTCCGTGACCGGCTTTTCAGATCTTCAGGCTTCCTGTTATTTTTACATCAAAATAATCAGCGTGAACCTTGGTTGGACCTGAGTCCGCAGATTCCTGAGGTGATGGGAGCCTTCAGACGCCCGACTAGGTTTACAAGCATGTGCCTTTGGCCCATTATTGCTTTTGGGTTTAGCAGAAGTCATTTTTGTTTTGTCATCATGGGCGGTTTCCACTGCGTGTGAATTCTTTTCCGTTGGGGCCCCGGTGGCGTGCTGCTCGGGGCCTGGCACAGGACGGGCGCGGGGGGAGCACGGAGCCAGCGGCCTGTCCCGCTGCACGTGGGACTTGGCTAAGCTGTCGTGAGCCCGTCCCACCGGCTGCGGCAGAGGCGCTCGGCGGGCTCCTTCCTCAGGCCAGTGAAGCCCAGGCTCAGTCCATCAGGCCCGAGTGAATTCGTGGGGTCCCCGCTAGTTTCAGCGGGGCACACAGTTCACCCGTGTCACCTCCGAACAGGAGCTGCTTTCAGGGACCCAGTGCCACCATTCATTCCGCTTTCAGTCGCGAAGTAATCACAGTAGGCTGGGGACGAGGACCTTTGTGGGTCTGCTCGGTTTGTAAGTTCTAACTTAAACTGGACTGTTGCCTCCTAGTCCTTCAGGGTAACGTTTCTGCCTGGTGGGGTTTTGTTGTAAAATTGGGCCAGTGTCCCCAGATGAAACACCCCAACTGAACCATGATGAGCAGAATGAAAATAATGAGGAAGGGGAATTTGGTCTAACTGACTCCCCAGACCCAGAGAGCAGGCCATGGCAGACAGCACCTTTGAAGACCTGGGTAGTACGAACTGGTTTGTATACATCCACGGGTGTGTGTGTGCGCGCGCGTGCGTGTGTGTGTGTGTACGCACATGCACACAGGATATGGTTGGTCACCTTATGCATGGGGGTGTAGGGAAAACTTCTGAAAAGTGTTCTCATGCCAAATTGTCTTTTTCTCTTACCTGTAACATGAAATTTAAATCAGTCTCATGTCTTGGTTAATCCTTTTTTTAAAAAGTCCTAAAGTTAGAATTAATTTCTAATTTGACTGAAGTAAATGTGAGTTGTGTGACTGACTTTGAATATCATGGATATGCTCTAAATTTAAACTCTAAGAAGAAGTATCATGGAATAATATTGAATGTAACTGATTTGGGGAAGTTACAATTAATTGCATAAGGTCACGTTGAACACCATGTCTCTTACAACCATTCTTATATTTTCACAAAAATTCTATAAAATATGTGAGTTTCAAAATTTTGTATTAAAATATTTGGAAAACTAGAAGCTTCTTTTTAACATGTGCTGATATGACTTGAATTCTTATTTTCTGAAATGAAGAGCCCTGTATCTCTCTGTAAATCTTTTCACATATCTTAAGCCTTCCTTTTTGTTATTATTGTTGATGGGCAGCTTAGTTATTACTTAGTTTTTCTTTATAAGAATGCCATCAATGTGCATGCTTTTATGTTTTCCAGAAAAGGGTGTGTTTGGATGAAAGTAAAAGAAAAAATAAAATCTTTCACTGTCTCAGATGTCTGTGCTATTTAACATTTTGCGACCCAGAAATTCCCCGTTGGCCTCCTGTTACATTGAATAGGCGCCATGGCTGGTCCTGCATTCTGAATTCATAAAATCACGGTATTTTCTCTTAAGTATTGAACAAGTTTAAAAAAATACAGTACTCAAAATTGGGAGGCAATATATTAGTTTTGTCATATAAACTCATCTACATATTTTATACAATGAATATAGCAAGTATTAATTGCTTGAGAATTCTATAATCATTAGGGTAAATCACTGAGACTTGTCCAATGACCAAATTTAGCCAGGTCAGTAGGGACAGTGCCAATTTGGCTAATCCTTACATCATACATACTAATGACTTCTTCCATGTATTTCATTTCCATGTGATTTTTTTTTTCATTTACAGTTGTACCAACTGTCCTTTATATCCAGATTACATAAGCTCTATTTTACCTTTGTAATGTTTGTGGTTTACTTTTATGTTCACGGAATAGATCTTTGTCAATAAAGTGATCTTTTTAAGTAGACGGACCATTGTAAAAATACAGTATATACAAAATTGCCCCCCCCCCATGTGTCCATCAGAAATGGATGCGCAGGAGGTGCCAGATAATATCTGACTCACATTTAAGAAGACTGAGAAGTGTCCGTCACAGTGTATTTCGTGTGTACAATTGCAGGTGTAGAGTACAAATGGGTGTTAACTGTACTAGTATTTGTTCTTGAAGTGTTAGATGGAAGAAAACATGGCCTTGGCAGATACTCCAGATACTACCTCGTAGTAACACATCTTTGTAAGTAGGATCTGGGAGGGAGGAGGAGGTTAGACCGGTTTTTATTATGAGTTACACATACCTTCAGATTAAAGATGGGCTAACTTGGGGCGTCGTGTTACCATTTAGAGTATTTGGCATCATACACAGCACTTGGTCAAACTGATAATTTGGAAACATTCAGATATTTGATATTAGGTATTTGATATTAATATTTTGATTCAGGTATTTGATAGTTAAATAACCACATAATCAAATTTAAAGCTTCATTCAGATATTTTGAAGTCCTAGATCTACAGTTACTGATTTATTTCACTTTGGAGTAGTTATGACTCCACATTATCCCCAAGATATTACTCGATGCCTTTTCCAATTTGTGGACAATAAAATAAATCCATTACCTTTACCAACTGGGGCATCATTCTTGTGTAGTGCGTGGGGTCAAAGAGACAAATACCTTACCCTGAGCAGGAAAAAAAACCCCAAAAGTTTTTTTTTCCAAAAGCCACTCCAGATAGAAAGCGGAGTTATTTCTGTCATTAAAGGAAAATATGATCCTGTAGATGGTATAAACTCTCAGTGAATGTTTTTTGATGGTCAGTTATTCCATCCAAATTAGTAATGGCTCATGATTTTGTATGTGTGTAAGAAAGACCTGTTCTGCAATTTTATTTTTATAGATTGTTGTGTCTTAAAAAAAAGAAGAAGATGCTACTGATAGTCTCTGTGTGTTCAGCCAGAGGGAATATTTGACCAACAGTCTTGTCTTTTTATGGTGTGTTCAAAATAAACTGATTTATGTTCTTGAGTGTATTGGTGCCTCATTAATCCAGAAAAGAAAAGTCTAAATCTCAGAAGTTACTCAGTGATACATGATAATACACATCTATTCGGTGATAGTTATTTCATGTATATGTGCTAATGAGTATATTTTAAGTATGTATATGTTTTACTGCCAAATGGTAGCTACAGAATACATTATTTTAAAATTTTACTTTGTTTTGATACTTGCCAAGGTGTGTTGAGTGCTCGCCATCTCGGGGCAGGGCGCTAACCCCTATGAGGCTCTCTCCTGTCCACACACGTGGCCGCGTGGCCCCCAGGCCGCAGGCTGGCTCAGCCTTGAGGGTGACAGGTGCAGGCAGAAGGCCAGGTTTTGGGTCTTGCTTCGACCACTGGGCATTCAACCTCAGACAAGTTACGTAACCTTTGTGTTTCCACTTCCTGTTTCTGTTGAAAGTTTTCCAGCTTTCTCCTCTGTAAAATAGGAATAATAATTCATTATTTACCTCAAAGTGTTGCTGACAACTCGGGAAGTTACCAGAGCTCTGGGTGTAGAGCCTGAAATGTGGCAGGTGCTAGTAAACCTTGTTCTTCAACCTCACTTGCTCCCAGTTGTACAGAGGAGGAAACAGAGACTCAAGGTTGGAAAACAATACCCAAAGTCACACAAATATTTCTAGTAGAAAAATGTCTGCCCATTCTTTCCTGCTTAACAAAGATGTAATGTGTTTCATACCGCCTAAGTGCCTTTGAAAGCAGATGGTCACGGGGCACCTGGGTGGCTCAGTTGGTTGAGTGTCCAGCTCTTGACTTTGACTCAGTTTATGATTCCAGGGGGCTGGGATCAAACCCCACATCAGGCTCTGAGCGTGCTGCCTGCTTAAGATTTTCTCTCTCTCTCTCTGCCTCCCTCCCCTGCTTGCACTCTCCCTCTCTCTAAAAATAAAATTTAAAAAGGAAATGGTCATAACTGTAATCATAGTCACTTAAAGATATTTTGTTTAAAGTCTAAAACAATACAGAGATTACATAAAGGAAAGATTCTCTGTCTTTCCTGAGGAAATGACATGGTCTCCAAACCGACTCCATGTTGGCTGCAGGGTTGGGCGGGGCCTGTCTCCCGTGTTGGTAGCACAGCCCTCACAACGGCAAAAGATGATGTGGGACAGCAGATAGATTCAAAGATCTTCCCTTACAGTAGCACAGAGTACAGTAATATTTGAAATTATTCCCCTGAAGATCACTTACTTTGGGAAATCCCAAACTACAAATGGTCTGTGCTGTATACTACAGGTATATAGCCTTAAGCAAACTACCTTCCCTGTTTGAGCCCTCCTTTTTTTTTTTTTTTTAATGGTTGTTTATTTCTGAGAGAGAGAGATAGTGCAAACAGCGGAGGGGCAGAGAGAGGGAGACGAAATCTGAAGCAGGCTCCAGGCTCTGAGCTGTCAGCACAGAGCCCACCCAACGCGGGGCTCGAACCCACAAACCGTGAGCCCAATGATCTGAGCTGAAGTCGGACCCTCAACCGACTAAGCTGCCCAGGCGATCCTGAACCCTCCTTTATCAATAAAATAAGGGGATTGCTTATTTACCTCCTAGAGTTTACTGCGAGTCAAAGGAGATAATAGTCCTAAAAGTACATTTATAAAGTTCAACATAAATGTGAGAGGTTATTTTAATTCTTCCTAAATCATTTCAGCTTTGCTTACAGTACAGTGTGTGAATAAGTCATCATCCATTCTTCTCTGATGCACTTTGGAACTCAAACACATGATCATTACCAGTATTTATTTTGAAATGTTTTCAGTCATTCAGTGTTCTGTCCATGCACACTTGAGTCACTATTTGGGTCACAGGTTAATTTCTTTATAATTTAATTTTTTAACTTCTTTTAATGTTTACTTTTGAGAGAGCATGAGTGGAGGAGGAGCAGACAGAGGGAGACACAGAATCCAAAGTAGCTCCAGGCTCTGAGCTGTCAGCACAGAGCCCTGTGCAGGACTTGAACTCAGGGACCGTGAGATCATGACCTGAGCCAAAGTCGGATGCTTAACCGACTGAGCCACCAAGGCGCCCCTCTTTGTAATGTATGGACAGTTCCCCAGTTCTGTTTGCTCATGACCCCTGGGTCTTTACCCTCCTGTGTAAGGCCCCTGGAAGGGCGTGGAGGGAAATGCAGACGTCTGTTCTCCCTGAGGACGCCTGTCGCAGTGTTTTGTCGCAGGCTGGAATGGGAAACACCAGGCGCCACCACGGGAGAGGAGTTCTCATCCCTGCAGTGGAGACAAGGACGAAGCGAGAGGTGATCTGGAAGGAAGAGCACTTGGAATGAAGTGTGCGTGGAACAGACGTGGAAACGAAGCAGAATGTGTGGAGCGAGGGTGTAGCCGCTGAGGGAAAGGAGACTGTCCGTGTGGAAAACACCTGTGGGGGGGTTGTCCTCTTGCTTCGGCTGGTTAGATTTTATTCCGAGCGGCGGGAGTTGAACTTGGACCCTAGAGCAGGAAGCCACGCAGCACAGCCCTTGTCCCCTCCGATGTCTGCGGCTACATGTTCCGTCTGCTCCTGTCCCTGCGGCAGCATCACGCACTTGCAGACGCGGGGCGCTGCTCTGGCTCCGGTGCTGGGTCCGGGGCCTGACTGGGGCGCTCCCCCCCCCCACCCAGCCCTGTGTGCCCGGAGGCTCAGGCACATCCAGAGCCAGGTCAGGGAACGACAGGAAGGGCCGGTCACCCCGCACACTGGACCCGGCCTTTCTTGCCGTCTGAGCATCAGCAGGACGCCCACGGGGGCCCCCGAGGATGAGAGCCGCTCCTTCCTAGGAGGGGACCCCCCTGAACGCAGGGAGGGCGCTGCTGTGCTCCGGGCGAGCCTGAGGGTGGGTGAGCACCCCACTATCGGTTACACACTTGTGTCTCTCAAAGTCCTGGCTTTCTGTTGTTCACGTGGTGGGAACGAGGCTCTTTAGAATCCATTTTCTCTTTTAGCGTCCCTTGTTTGTGAAGGAGATTTGGGGGGGAGTGGCTTGGGGTGAGGCATGGGTCCCGGGGCCAGGACACCAGGGCTTGAACCCCTGAGCTGCCCCTCGCTCGCTGTGGGAACGTGGTCTAGTTCCCACGCCCTGGTGCCTTCATCGTAAGCTAGGGATGCTGATCGTGGGACCCACCTCTTAGGCGTGTGTGAGGACATCACCTACGTAGTAAAGTCCCTGGATTCGTTGCTGTCGTATCCTGGGTGTCAGCTCTGGTTAGCGCTGGTTCTCGGCCAGTCCTGTGTCCCAGGGACGGCAACGAGCCCTGTGCTGGCGAGTGAACTGCCGCCGATTCTGTTACCCTGGTGCCTTTTGCTGTGAGCCACCTCAAATACTTTGTATCTATGTCCGGCCGCAAGCGGGTTCTGCCTTATACTAGAGCTAGTAACTTTCTGTTTTAGGTTATTGATCTGTTG